AGGTAGGTCAAGGACACATAGACAGACAAGACAGAAAGAAGCTGCATGTAGACCACCAAAGAAAGGACGTTAAGCAGAGATGCCCAGAAGCCAACCCAGTTATGGCATGTTCCAGGTTAAGGGGGATCTCTGCCCCCCACCATAAAAGCAGCCCAGAACAAAGGCCCATGGGTCCTCTATCTCTCTGGAGCCCCTTACCTTGGTTCTTTCTTATCAGTGTAGCTAGCTGTTGTTTCCCCTCCTTTCTTTTCCTCTTCATAAATACAGTATCTTCCTTTTTAAACCTTGTCCCACTAATTTTTACTGGGGCTGAGTTTATGATCCCAGTGGGCTGCCTGACAGTACAGCCTGGTACTCATCCCCCGGATGTGACAGGAACATTCAGGAATCCTAGTTAACACATAGTCATCTGTCTTCACAACACTAAAAATGAGTCAGCAAGACATCTGTTCCTCCAGAAGTGATGTCACAGGATCCATACAGCATCTATTACCCACAGAGGGTTCCAGATAAGGCAGTTGAGCTTGCAAGTCTCCAAAACTGTGAAAGACAAAGAAGTTGAAAGTTATCATGAGGAAGCAATATGGGACATTCTCAAGAACCATTCATCTGTTTTGGTCAACAACTAAATAGCACAGAGGGACAGCCCAGCATGGTGGCACATGCCTGTAATCCCAGCACTCAGGAGGCTGATGCAGAAGGATCACTAAGAGTTTGAGACCAGCTTAGGCTACAAAGTGAGCTCAAGGCCAGCCTGAACTGCTTAGTGAGACCCTGTCTCAAAAAAAGAAAAAAGAATAGTACAGAAGGAAAGAGGGAGGGAAAAAGAAAGGGAGAACAGAAAGGACTTGGAAAGTCTTTTTAACAATAAGAAAAATACCCCAAAAAATCAGATGATGTGAAGAAATTACTGTTAATTTTTTGTGTGTGTATGGCAATGGTGTTATGTCAGAAAATAAGAAATTTTTATTTCTTAAAGATACATACTGAAATATTTAAGGGTAAAATATAAGATGTATCCAGGTTCTCTTTAAAATACTCCAGCAAAAAATGAGTTAAAACACATTTACCTATCTTTTCAACATAAAGGAAACCTTGCAAAATGTTCATCAGTGGGTCTGGATGAATTTATTGGGCTTCTAAAATTAGTTACTGGCCTTTTGCACTTCTCAAATTTTTAATGACACTATTTTTATGATAAAAAACAGTGGATTTATTTCTGGAATGTAACAAAATAACCATCAGGGTAATTTGGAAGAATGAAATACTTATAATATAGAAAATTAAAAACACACGTTAGTGAATCTGTGGACACTATCAATCACTGAATCATTTTATAAAGCTATAGTACTTAGAACAGCAATACTGGTACAAGAGTAAACAATCAAAAGGAACAGAAAACCCCAAGACAGCTCCTAAGATGTATGAGTTTTTAATAATAGAGTTCTGATTCCTAATTAATAGCTGTTTATACAGCTAATACTTCAAATAGAAGTTTGAATTATTCACTAAGTACTAAGGGGCAACTGTCTAATCATTTAGAAAAAGAGATATTTTCTATTTTATACATTATGCCATAATAAATTTCAGATAAACTAATCAATATATTTCAGAGATATATTAAGAAAATGAAATATTTTCCAAAAGAAAATATAGTGAATATTTATCTGTCATAAGATTCAAAAACCTTTTCAACATAAAAATAAAAAACTATAAATGAAAAGACTAACTGCATTCAATATTTAAAATTTTGGAACAAAGCAAAAAAAAAAGAAAATTATTTTATTTTATATTTTCAATAGAGGACTAAAATAAACTCTTATCAAGCTCATCTCACTCCTCAGCAACATTCTATAAGATAAATGTTATTATCTCAATTTCCCTTTCACAGAATAAACTGAAGTATAGAAAAATCAGTCATATAGCTAGAACTTGGTGGCATGAAAGTTAAAAACCAGGTCTGCCTGACCTCAGCTATATTCACAGACCACTTTATCATACTGCTTCTCATATATTAATAGTATCCTTACTATATAAATAGCTCTTACAAGTCAATAATAAAAATGGGCAAAATGCAAAAAAACAAGAGAAAAATATACAATCTACCAACTCCACATAGGAAATATAAACATTATGTACTACAAACATGTACTAATTTTTTTAAAAAGGAAGAGGATACAAAGATGAATGGAGATGTCT